TTGCAGCGGGAGAGGGTTCGGGACAGTGGGATTGTTTGCAGCGGGAGTGAATGGAAAGCCTTTGGTTCATTTTGCACTCACCGTCCAATCTACCGTGCTGCGTACTTCACGATCGGAATCCTGTCGAAGTGAAACGTTCGGGTTTGGTTGAGCAACCAGATGTTGAAGCCCAGATTTAGCAATGGCTTTTCTGAAATAAATCAGAGAATGGTGTTTTTGTCCTGGTCTCCATTTTTCAGCTATTACCTGAAATAGTGCACACTCTCATCAAATGTAGCAAAACTACTGTTCCTTTCCATAGCCCCTATTGTTACCTGTGCAGCATGCTGTTACTCAGTATTTAATTCTCACAAGCCTCATGTCAGATACCGTTCGCTATAACACTATTATTGTGTCTAGGTCTGACACTGAAATCATTTGAATTTCATTCAGTGGACTACAAATAGAATGTACAAACTGGGCTACACACTGTGAAACTCTGGTTTTATATGACTCCCAATGTCGATTTCAAAGGAGATTCTAATCAAATAGGTCATTAGACCAGCTCTGTACCCAATCACATCAGTTTCCCATTGAGCATGTTAGGTGAAAATTAATCCCCATTTTTGCCTTTATCACCAATACAGAGACTTCCCAAAATACTTTCCAACATTCAGCAAAGGGTCAAATTTTGGAGGCGCTTAATACTCCTCCATGCTCATCATCCTACTTGTTTTTTTTTTTTTAAATATTTCAAGCACAAATCCATTTCAAACAATGAAGAACTGTAGTGGATTGACATTGTGAATTGGACATTTGGGTGATCATGAAAACAAGTGGCTTTATTTGCCCTGAATGGGGGCTTCTTTGAGTATGACATGCACCCTTCTGATGGCAACGCCTGACCCATAGCATTGCTGCACAGACAATGGGCTCCCTCAGTAGCGAGGACCAAACACCGGGCAACTCCCAACTTTAACAGCAAAATAGACATTGGTGCTCGGGCCAAAAAATCTACAGGAAAACAATCAGTATACCTGCCTGAATGGCTGCCTACATCCAAAAGAGTTATCATTTTCAGATAATACTCCAGAGAATATTGGCACACTTTGCAAGCACAACTGGAGAAGAGGAACAAAGCACTTTGTATCTTGTACTGACAGGACAGCACACAATATTCTGGGCATATTGTCAGTGGGCAAGGATCTGGGATGCGTACCTATTATGTAGCACGAGAGTAGGATTATGCATTCATTTGATATGCATAAGGCTATCATAAGATCTAGCAGAAGTAGCCTTTCAGCTCATTGAGTCTCACTACCATTGAACGGGGCCGTGACTGAGTACAACATGCTCTGCATTCTAATGTGCACGATAAGGGCGAGGAACTTTCTTGACATCGGAATGCAGCATTTCTCATCTGTTGAAAGTGCATATACTGTAAAGTACAAAAAGAGGAAACAAGTAACAGTGTTTTCAACTTGAAGACGCTTAAGCAAGTTACAAGATAGTCAGAAATTCCCTGTGGGCAGTGTCAGAATTTTAGCGTGTTCACTGTATCCCAAAGAAGCTGGCATTGCAATCCCCCAAACCCAAAAGATATCAGCCTCAGGGAACTGTGGATTGCTTCCTTCCTGACAGTGATGCAAATAGCTTCCTGCTCAGCCTGCTTTTGAATCACATCAAGACCTTTACTGACTAGGGCAGAATTGCTATTAATAAATACTCTCACATCAATCTCTCTCCCACAGACATTATGTTAATTGTGCAACCAGAATCGTCTACTGAAAAAATTTTCTGAGCAGGGTATTCAATGAGAAGTGGTGAATTCAAGGATGCGGAAGATGTGTAAGGAGGGAAATATGCTAGAAATCAATTCTTAATTCTTTAGGAAATTGCCCCGAGATACACATCTATGCAAAAACAGCAGAAAAATGTCTTCTTCTTGTAAAACAAGGCACACTTCCCAGCATTTAATGAGTCTAATTTTAACATGTAAGAGTGGGCAGTGTTGGTGGGAATTGGGGGAGACCAAAATCAATCCACAGTTAAAATAAAGATCGTCACTTTCTCACATTGATATTTGGCCCAAGGACAGTTTAGATAAACTTGCCAGGTATCAACTCTCCTTGTCTCTCTCAGGCCCAACATATGATTGAACAATTCCACCAATTAGAGAACTAGGTTGTGAGGCTAATGGATCTCAAACATCCCATCGAGGGAGAACATTGCAGGCATCCAGCAGCATTGTCCAAGGGAAGCCTGTTGCTACTTACTGATCATTTTACATGAAGTTTCTCCACAATGTCAATCTGTGGAATCTGTTCCATCATTATTACCACACACACTGAACTAAATGACATGCTTAATTGCACCAACAACCAAGCTCATAATTTCTTTCACAATCTTTGAGTTAAACATGTGCATATACCTTACAGTGAGACTTGACCTTCTAATTCACCCGCTTACTTACTTACTTCTGAGAGTTTGGTCTTCCTGCCAAACTGCTATCCTTCAGAACAGCAAAGAGGAATGTGGATTCAGGAAGTTTATAATCTCCTCACTTCTATTTATTGCGTTGGGAGACAGCACTAAATCATCCACGGCAAACGTCTTTCTAACTTCATGCAACACTCTGTGAGCAATGTGTCATTTTGAATAAAGGGGAAAATTTCACTTGTATGCACCAGCCCATAATACAAACTAACTCAATGCCATCATTGAAACATTGCAGGACAATCACTTCAGCTACTGGATTCATATGATATTGTAATCTTGAGTTCGGCTGCTGGCAAAATGAAAGGAAAATGGGAAACATCTGTATTCTTTATTCTACCCTGGCCGCTGTATTTAAAACAAACTGAACAGCAAGTGCTAGATATTAGAGCAGAAATTAATCAGGTAGCACATTCAACACAGGCACAATGAGCAGAACTGCCTTGTTCCCAGCTGTGTCATGGAGGAACTTCAAACTCAGAGGAGCCTGGATTTCTATGCCTTCAATGTAGGGTACTACAGTGCACGGGAGCACTGCCTCTATCCAATGCAGGAAAGCTAGCTGCTTGTCCACAGGACTACAAGCTGTACCACCAAGGTGGGATCAGGTATATGTTTGGGAAGGTAACCAGCAGAGAGCGAAAGAGAGAGAGAGAGCGAGAGGGAGAGGGAGAGCGAGCGAGCGCAAGAGAGAGCGCGAGAGAGAGAGAGAGCGAGCGCGAGAGAGAGAGAGCGAGCGAGGAATGTCCCTCTACATCAAGCCCCCCCACCTCTCCAACTCGACACACCCATCCCAGACCCTCCCCATACCCAGAGCAGGAATACATACGAGAGGAAGTTGCTCCACGCGGGGGAATGTTTGGCCGCAGGGCTCCTGTGGATCAAGCGAAGGGAATTTCTGCGGACGCCGTGCCTCCAACGCGGTGGCAAGGCACGGGACATCTGGCTGATGCTCAGCGAAGGCCTCCTGCTCCCCACCGACACCACCCGGTACAGTTCCGGCTCACCGGGAGGAACACAAGCTGCCACCGAGCTCCGCCGTGTGCCAGGGAGAGGGATGGTGCTGGATCGCCGCCGCTGAGTCCTCCTCCGGTATTTCCCTTGCAGCCCGTAGGCCGCCTTCCCCATGTGGAGCGACTCGGCGGGGACCAGGTGGGAGGAGTTCCTCCTCAGGCAGCGAGGGGCCCTCAGGAAAGGCTTGGTGTAGACGGGCCTGTAACGCCAGGCCGAAGGCTGGAGGGTCTCTGGGGTCCCCGGGGGGGTGCACACACCCGCTTCCTGGTCGCTCCGACTCCTGCCCGCGGACGAGGACTCCGAGCCTCCGGAAGAAGAGCAGTCGCTGTCAGAGTCATCGGGGGCGGCCCCTGCCCTCAGCCTGCAGCATGGCTGGGCCGTGCCCTCTTCATCCTCGCTCATCTGAATGAGGCTGGCCAGCAGCACGGAGGGCCCGACCAGGTGGCTGTCGATGGCCCGCAAATTGCCCCCCGGCTTCTGCTGGACCGCGAACCTCGGGTTGAGGTGGAGGGCGGTGGTGCTCGACCTTCGGCGTGGGCCGCTGCTCCTGGCCAGCGCATGGTGGTGGTGGTGGGGGGAGTGTGGCAGCTGCACACTGGACCGGCGCCTCTGCGCCAACAACGCCGAGGGCATCCCCGCATTCGAGCGGCGCCTGACTTTACTGCCGGGCACCGGGCCTCCTGCGCGCCAACCTGTCCGCCGGCACCGACCGGGCAACCTGACCCCTGGTGGCGTCTTCATGAAGTGCCTTTTGAAAAATGTCTCCATCCGTTTTGCGGCTGTTCCTGGAGAGGGTTGGGGGTGGGATGGGGGGGTGTTGTTGGGTCTGAAAAGAGATGCAGCTCAGTGGCGGGGGGGCAAGAGGCCGGGGGATGGGGTCTCCCCGTGGGCTGAGGGCTGTTGAAAAGGCAGAGAAGGAGGAATCAGAACAACATCATCATCGGATCAAGCTCACTGTGCGACAGACACTCACCGGAGGAGTGCCAGACGAGACGGTCCTCCCCCCACCTTTCCTAATGCTCTTCACCCAGCACAGAGCGCTGCCCTAGGGCCAGGCCGCTGCTGAGAAAGAATGGACAAGCTTTGCAAACGCCGAAACACAAATGATGAAAGTTGTGCACCAAAGGGCCCCAAAGCAGTGGGAAGTAAACGACACTGCTCGGCTTTCACGCTCAAATACGCTCTCCCATTTCCTGCAGCAAGTTCGCATCAAACAATCCCAGCAACCACTGCAGGCACACTGAAAAAACTTCTGTCAGATTCTGAATGGGCCATTAGTAGGGTTTAAAGGCTCGATTGCTTCTGGACACTGAATGCTATTCTCACCACCACGTCCGAACACCCAACTCAATAGGTTTAGCTGATGTGCATTTTCAGTGTTTTCTTTAAATCCTGATTGCATAATATACTGGATTTGAAGAGATTAGGTTGACACTGGAACGCCTGCTGTTGAACGTTACCTCATGCGGGTCTGGTCGCATGTGGCGTAGCGCTACAACAAAGGAAGTTAAGGTGAGGCACTTAGCCAACATGGTCAAAAGTATGAAGGCTTCAGTAAAGCAAATGAAGAGACAGTGAGCAAAATGTGACGTTCTCCCACTTAGGCTCATGGGGTTCGGGAGGTGTTTCATCAGGCAGGATGATAACAGATGTGGGTCTGGGTATGCAAATTCCCACCTCTGCCTCGATTAGGTCTGGGGCAGGAGGGCCATGGACAGGAACCCCCACACCCCCCCATACTCCACAGTCAATTGAAGACCTTCATCGCTCAATATACATCCATTGTGGAACCTCACTTCACCGTTAATGTTCACCTAGCAACAGGTAGAGGTCTCACCATGTAGGGAGTACACAAAGCAAACACTGTCAGGGTCACTTGCTGGCCACTGGGGTGGATCCTGTCATCCAAAGGCCTGACTGAGGGGCTGCATTGGGAAAGGGGTTAGGTTGATAGCCACTGTCATCCATCACAGCCCCCATCCCATCATCACTCAGCTCTGAGCCTGAGAGTCTCAGTGACACTGGATGTCAGGTGTCTGCAGTACCAACAGTGGCCACTCGTCCTACTGGCACCACTGAGCAATGCACAGCTTCTGGCCTCCGATTTTAGAAGGGGTGTTCTCTCTCCTTGGGGGCTGGATTTCCATCCTTGGGGACTGGGGACAAGGACCACCACACTCTAGTTAAGAGGCTGATTAGATGTCAGTTGGGTGTGTCTTTCTGAAAGGAGGTGACACATGCCTCTCTGCAGCTCATTGGAAGATGAGACTACAGTTGGCTCCATTAAATATCTGCCTATTATTCCACCAACATGAGGGTACGTGACCAAAGAACAGTCATTTAAGATAAAAGAACCAGTTAGAGATGATCAGAGCTCATTGTTATCATTCATTGGAAGATAGGGGGTCAAAGTCCTTCCCTTTCAAGAATTTATACTTGTAATACATGGAAGGAATTAATACTTTCATTTTCAAAGAAAAACTTTGACTTGAAGGCTGCACAGCTTAAAACTCATTAGAACACTTTATTTGATGAACATTAACTAAAGGAATGGATGCCATAGATAATTCCAGAGGGACAACATCATAGACAGTTACACTGTTCATGTTTGCTGGGGCAGGTCTATTTAGACTGGGTGTATCGAGCTCTAGCAAACAATATTCAGGTACTCAGTGCTTTCCTGCCCTCTCTGCCTTTCAGCAAGTGCAGAATCTTGAATTCAGACAAGACGCTAGGAGCGACAAGAGTAGGTCCTAAGCCTTCATGGGGTAACTAGGGATGGGCAATAAATGTGTCTTGTTCACATGACAGAATGATCATTTTATTCTTTCAGACAATAACAGCGGCCAATACAACCCATGTCTCAGGAGGCAGGAATGAAACAATTGACAGGGCAATGCCTCTTTGGAAAGGCTAGTAACAGAAGATGTGACCATCCGCTTAGTCTAGGGGTGAAGCACAACAACTAGATACCAGCCCTAGCAGAAGGCAAAGGAAAACTTGCAAAGAGAGGTATTTTATCTCCTCGTTTTTTTTCCTCAACAACTTCCGGAGGAAGGATGTACAATCTTAAATTTAGAGTTGGGAGGGTCCAAATGAATCTCACAAAGGTAAAGAGAAATATGAAGTTCTCTTTCCCAGTTGGCTGTGGACACAAGATCGAGTAGGAGAGTCAAGGCTGAAGTTATTTCATGCCCTTACCCAATAGCAATCTGGGAACAAGGAGACAAGGTAGAAAAAGCTTTGCCTCAACTCGAGCTTCATATTCTAATTGAACGGCAGCAAAGGCTTGCGGGTTTGTGTGAACACCCTGCTCCTATTGATAACGCTCACAGATCCTCGAGTTTAAAAGGCACCAAACCCAAGCAATACTTCGGGAGGTTCTGTCTTTACATAAGCTGACAATGTTCCCAAGAATGTGAACTGAAGCCAGAGTGTCAGGCTTTAACCCTGATCAGGAGGTTCCTGATACTATATACAGCTGTGTGTTTCCTCTTAACCACACTGATGTCCAGCATTATCCACACACCAGCGGTTGTGATGTGCCAATCAAACAGGCTGAACCACTCTCATAGGTGCCCCCCTGTAGTGAAGGCAGTTCATTGAGTTTAAATACCAACAGCAGCAAGTCCAAGTGTGCCATCAATCACCGTACAATAGTCTGTTTGCTGTACCCTAACAACACAAGCTCGAGTTGTCCTAAAGACCATTACTTTTATGCAAACATATCTTATGCTGTGCACTGTTGCCCAGTGATTCAGTACTAAATCTCATGTTGATCCTTGTTGTATGGCTCCTTATTATTTCACACCCAGTAAGACAGAGTATTACTTTTTTTTTAAAAGCACTCATGTACAGAAATGTGCATGTGAAATGCATTGCAGCGTTGCTCCTTTAATAGCTGCACACACTCATATAATTCTTTAATCTCTTCACCACCTAACACACCGAACATGATGGCCACCAAGCTACCACTTTGACTGCCAACATGTTATTCACCACGAAGCTGCGTGTTCTGGATGCACGGCCAGTTCTGACGCAGAGTCACACCAACAGCATGGGCTCTATCCCCACACCAGCTGAGGTTACCATGGAGGACTCT